CTATCGTGAGGCAGTTGAGCTGTTCAGCGACACAAGTGTCGTCATTACGTGTAATGGAGCTCAGTACCTGGGGGCAGCCATCGGCTCAGGTGACTTCAAGGAGAACTTTGTATCGACTAAGGTCCAGGAGTGGGCTGATGAGCTAACTCGATTGGCTGATTTCGCTCGCTAGCAGCCCCAGGCAGCATATTATGCCTGTGTCTCGGGCTTGAGAAGTCGCTGGGCTTTCCTATGCCGCGTTCAGTCTATTTCTCCGTCCCATTTCCAGCCACTGGTGGACATGATAAGCACGAAGCTTATACCAGCAATGACGGGTCGACCATCGCCTGGCACAGTGTTGAGGGAAGTACTCGCACTGCCCTGTCGTTTGGGTGGCCTGGGCCTGGTCAGCCCGATGACTTTGTGCTCCCAGTATGAGTCGTCTGTCGCCATCACAGCATCTCTCTCGGCGTATCGTGGATCGTGTTTCTGATATTGGGAATTCTCTGATTGGCATCCAGCAGAAGAAGGCGAAGATGAAGAAGGAAGTGTATCATAGCCAGGCAGAGTCGGCACGGCGTATCAGAAATGATGGGGCGGACGCCTTGTGACACACCATTGTCCTCGCCCGTGAACCTGGCGCCTCGAGTTGGCTGACTTGCCGTCCATTGAAAAGTATGGGTCTGAGGCGCGTGCGCCGGTGCCCTTCAAGGGGGGGGCCTCCCCCGTGAACATTTTCAAAAAATGAAGCAAAATCCTGCATTTTGAGCGAAAAAAGGGGAGTTCCGGGCACCCAGGAACCCATGCGGCGCACGCGCCTGGGTTTTCACTGAGCAAAGCTGAGTTCATGGACGGCTTGTGCCTCCGTTATGGTTGGATGCCGCCAATGTTACCAACTCATTGCTTTTGTTGACGGGACAATGGTATTGACCATGCCTTGTCATGTCCCCTTGGTGGTTTTACCATTATCCGCCTTAATGAGATCCGGGATGTGACAGCCTCTCTCCTTCAAGAGACCTGTCACAATGTCTCCATCGAGCCACTGCTGCAGCCACTCACTGGAGAGAGAATGAGATACAGGTCTGCTATTGTGAAGGAGCATGCGCGGCTTGATGTAGCGGTCTGTGGTTTGTGGGGCAGTCGTTTTGAGCGTACTTTACTTGATATACTGGTTTTTAATCCTCATCCACGCTCAAATCGATCTGCAACACACACACCACTGTCTATCGGCGCCATGAAAAAGAAAAGCGACGATGCTATGAAGAGAGAGTGAGAGAGGTGGAGTATGCGACGTTCATGCCTGTTGTGCTGTCGGCAAGTGGTGGCATGGGAAGAGCGGCGACATCACTCTATCGCCGAATCGCGTTATTGAGAGCAGAAAGGAGGATGGAGCAGTACTCCGATGCAATGTCTTACGTCAGATGCCGTTTCTCATTTGCCCTGTTGCGATCATGCACCATGTGTTTGCGGGGTTTGCGGGGTCTTTTCCGTGAGCGATCGGTTCGGCATCCGGAGTCTGCTTGGCTGGTTGTTGCTGAGGCCCAGGTTGCTCGCATGTGAGAATCTATAAATTTCAGCAGATTGTTTTTATTATAAATACTGGACATGGACATTGAATTAAACTGTACTCAGTGACTTTTTACATTTTACAGGCTACGTTTTATTATTGTTATTATTGTAAAGCTTTCCTTTTGATCTTGTCTCTTATTGTTGTGACCTTTCCACAAAATTGTGTTGCATTGTTTAAAAAAAAGAAAAAAAGTTGGGAGCATTTATGACAGGGTGCAGGCTGGCCTTCGTACACGAAATAAGTTGTTCGTAGAAGGTTTCATGTACGACGGAATCTGCATGTTGAGGCGGAGAGAGAATATTGCGAAGCGGGTGCCAGTCGCAATGGCCATGATTTCCTGTTTACAAATCCATGGCGAAGAGGCCCATAGTTAACTAGGCTTTTGACGAGAGAGCTTGGAAGCTCAGGGCCCTACGCTATGTTTTTTTGCCTTGATGACCTAGACAAAAAAAGCATATGGATGTTATAAATTCTTTAAAAATGCCTTTTTTTAAGACATAACCTGGGAGTCGAACCCGCACTATCGCGCCCTGCATGCATCCCCGATACACTTCGCATACATACTAATTCTTCCAAGTTGCTTCACGTTATGATCTTGCGTTTGAAAGCCCTATTTGAATATTGCGGGCAGCTGTATGTGGCCAGCTGTCTTTGATGGTACGGTACGGTAGGGGATAGGTACGGGACAGGTACGATCGAGGGTAATACGACACCGTCTCCCGCACCGTACCGTACCATCAAACACAGCTGGCCACATACAGCTGCCCGCAATATTCAAATAGGGCTTTCAAACGCAAGATCATAACGTGAAGCAACTTGGAATAATGGGTATGAATGCGAAGTGTATGGGGATGCATGTAGGGCGATAGTGCGGGTTCGAATCCCATGATATGCCTGAAAAAATAGGAGAATTGAAAAATTTATAACATCCCTATGCTTTTTTTCCCGTCCGATTCGGGATAGCGCCAGGCGTGACACAAACAAACAAACAAACACACAAACACACAAATACCAAACGGGAGAGCTTGGAAGCTCAGGGCCCTACGCTATGCTTTGTTACTTAGCTCATCGTGCATGTTGTGGGAACTGATGGAAATGTTTCCTGGGAAGGCGCTGACTCTGCCGAGCACGCGCGTTCTGGAGTCGACGGGATCAGTCTGCCGACGTTTCCTGTGACCGGCGCTGACTCGCTCGTTCACGCCTATTTTGGAGACGACGGGATCTCTCTTCCAAAGTATGTTTTTGCTGACGCATCCTATCACCTATTCGGCAACTATCATCCATTCTAATCTTCATTTCCTCCTCGTCTCCCTATTTCTTTCCAGAAAGTCTCTCTATACATCAGGGAGTCGTACTGTATTGGCAGCTCAGCTACCCTAACGGGTCACGCCGCCCACCACCCAAGCATGGGTATGATGAGGGACAGTGGCAACAGAAACAGAAAAAACAGCAAGCAGGGAGAGAAAGCAAGAGAAAGACGGCGATAGTAGTACATCTGGTGTGCGACGTATAGAAAAGAGAGATGACAAGAGATGCGCACAAAATAGGAAACAATAATTATTTTTGCAGTTCCGAAACAATCAACCAGGTGATGGAGTGTGGGCACCCGAAGTCCCACCTGGACTCCACTGGAAGAACATCCCACGCAGGGATATCAGCGATAGGCCAAGGGCGAGCGTTGAAAAACAGCCATGAGGACACATCGTCTAGAAGTCCACCGCGCTCGAACTGAAATTGCAGGTTCAAACAATTTCCCACGCGGCGTCAGGCAGCGTAACTCTTCTCCCTGCATCACCATCCATCTCCAGCAACCGTCTCCACTCACAGCTCATGCCTCTGCCACCACTGTACTCCTCCGAGCTTCGCAGTTTGAAACCATTCGGGGGTCAGCTACACCACCGCGAATGGAGAGACGAGGACGACAACGGTCGTGACTGAAAAGACACTGCCTTGGCGACCGCGTCGCGGAACCCTCGCCCCAGCAAATTCAGAAATACGCCAGGGGCAACTCTGGTGGACCCAGAGCAACCCCCTTGGCAAGACTAGTAAGAAGAACGACTGAAAACTCAGATAAAACGGAGCTACAAAAAGTGCAACCGTCCCCTTCAAGCACATATGCAACACACAGGGAGTCGTATACATGTACATAATATTGTGGCCAGCTGTTTGTAGCCAGCTGTGTTTGATGGTACGGTACGGTACGGTACGGGACAGATACGGGAGCCAGCAAATGGCCAGCTGTGCGATACGGTACGGGACAGATACGGGATAGCGCCAGGCGTGACACAAACAAACAAACAAACAAACAAACACCAAATTAAAGCTGTGTGGACCCTGGCTAGCGCCAGACGTTACTGAAGTAACGTCTTCTGCATAGCTACGGGAATTAAAGCTGTGTGGACCCTGGCTAGCGCTAGACGTTACTGAAGTAACGTCTTCTGCATAGCTACGGGAATAATAACGTTGTCCTGGACCCAGATGGGTACATCATGGACGTGGATTTCCACAGAATCAGGCACCAGTTGAGTGACGCCCACTTCCACTGACATGAGATGGAAACCGTTTTGGCAAAGTCATGTCAGAGTGTCGCGGGAATGAAACGTGGCCTTGCAGCTAATGCAACTGATCAGCTGCACGGATATCAGCTCGGAGAAGCCATGTTCAACCAGGGCTTCAGCAACTTTGAGGGTTTTCGTGTGCAGTGGTACGTAGAAAGTCCCCGTGTTCCTCTTAACAGCTTTCGGAGAGACCGAATTCCAATCGCGATTTTCACCGGACGTGGGCATTTTGGAACGCCCTAGCTAACTACTTTCTAATTTTAAAGTATTATCATGATTATTGTAGAAAGGAAAAGGACATAAGGATACGAGTTAAGAGTAACTCTCCATCACTGTAACTGGATACTATATACAGTCAGAAAGTGCAATACTAGGCACACAACTGACAAGAGTACTGAGACATTTGACGTCCTGACACCTCGCTTCAACACATCTCCGTAGCGCTAACCGACAGCCTTCCAACTAGGAAGGTTCAAGGTTATGGAAAGACCAAAGAGGGGAAGGCAAGCGCAACGAAAACGAGCAAAAGCTACAGTCCCAACGGAACAAGGAATGTCGATTGTTACTGGACGATGACGAGACCAGTACGATATTTGACAAAGCGGTCTAACTACAATTCGAATTCAATTCTTTGGTCTTTCCATAACCTTGAACCTTCCAAGTTGGAAGGCTGTCGGTTAGCGCTACGGGATACGCGAAATGTACGCTATATGCTATACGCTAAACACTATACGCTTTACGCTCTGAAGTCACCAGCGTGCCAAGAGTTACTAGAGTTTCATGCCTAATGAAGCAATCATTAGGAGACAATATTTTTTTTTGCGATCCCCTCGCCTTAGAAACGAGCACTGCGATCTGTTGTTATGGTTCTGTTTGATCTTGTGTGCATTTAGAAACCTGGAAGGGAATCAGATCAGCTTGATACAAAACAGGGCTTTCTCGGAATTAAATGGCGGCAGTCAACACCTCAAATATTTGTAAGCATTTATAACAGATTTTCCAACGATACTGTATGGGTCACACATGGAAGGAGTGACCGCAAACCTGAACATTTATTCTGGCGAAGGTTTTTTTTTATAGATTCAAGCTGCTGCCCCTTTTCTCCAATCCACTGGCTTACCAGCGCACTGACTCTCTTGGTGGAGTATGCACTCACAGCTCCGAAAGAAATTTATTCTCATTTCACTCCACCCTTAATGGATTTTCATCATCCTGGGCTCGTTGGAAAGATCAGGACCAAGCAAATCCATCCTGGCAGCTCTCAGCTCCATAGACACGTCAGGGCCACTTCCACCTCCTCTCCAAACTACTCCACCGTGCCTCAGAACGGCACCACAACTCAATTTGACATTCTTGTTCGGTTTCTTGCCCAAATTCAACTGATTTTCATGATTGAAACGGCGCTGCAAAGCTGAGATCCAAGCGCTTTATTTGATGTCCATCACGCATGCGCCGTGCCAAAGGAAAATCCCCTGGCACGCTCCAAAAACTGTGAAGTCATGAACAAAAAATATTCGCGTTCGCTCTGGGCCGTGATTTTGTAATAGGTGTATTAATGCTACGACCTGTGCATACTCACTATTCGTATTTCCCGCTCGTTCCCCTTGGCAATGAGACTCACATAGAAGAGCGCATGCTCCAGTGGGTCTCCAGGTCTGTTCTGTTCTAGTCCAGTCTTGTGTGGTCGTTGTCCTGTTCTCCTGCTTCTGTCTACACTCTTGTCGAATACTTTTATAATCCAATCATATAAAACCCCTGCGTTCCGGTGTGAGGGGACTTCATTACCCGGGAGAAGCTAACACTGGTGGCAGCGGAAAACGTCCACCACTACATCGCTGGCGGAGTGTGTACGCCTTCGGAGATCGCCTACTATGAAGAACCACGCAGGCCCACGCAAGTGAACTTTCATATCCTCATCCACTTTCTTCGTCGATATTTTCCTTTCTGAATTGTGTTTCTTTCTGCTCGTCGTTTTCTTGTTGAATGCATTGTTTACAGTCCATAGGTCACGCATTGGCGCCAACCTGTCTGGCCAAAAAAATTTTCAGAACATTTTCTGTGTCCGTGTTTTGTGCATGATTGCATACTGACTGCTGTCTGTTGTTAGGATAACTGCTAGCTGGGCAGTAGAGTCTACACTGTGTCTGTAGAGTAGTTGCCTATTTGGAATTGTCTCTGCCAAATTTAGTTGTTTGCCGCTACGCACGATAGGTTACGTAATAGATTTAGATCGATACGAGTTGTTACATAGTTGATTTCGGGAAATTTTGCAGAGATTATTTTTTTTCGAAAATTCAAAAAAAGTTCTGTTCCGTTCTAGTCTAGTCTTAACCCTTTGGGCTTTCACTTGCCACAGCTAAAAATCCGGTATTTGAGTGAGCCGCGGAACATCCGCCATAACTTTAGAACCATTGATATTTGTAAGTACAAACCTATATTTTTTCTGAAAGGTATGACAATACCGAAGTCAAAAACACTCACATCAAGTCCAGCAATATCTGAAAAGTTGCACATTTGGTTGTTAGAAGTCAAGAGTTCGACAAAATATACGATAAATTTCTGACTGTCCACTTTGAGCTGTATTTTCGAACAGCCAAACACATACTCACCTGATTTATACTGCAATGTGCCTCTGGTGGTACTGAGAGAAGCAGTCACGAGCAGAGACATGCAGAAACCGGTCGCAGGCTGCACAGTAGGTGACGCATCGCCGCTTAGCTTTTTCCAACTTGTAGCAGTTGACACTAGTCTAGTGGTCGTTGTCCTGTTCTCCTTCTGTCTACACTCTTGTCGAATACTTCTATAATCCAATCATATAAAACCCCTGTGTTCCGGTGTAAGGGGATTTCATTAGCCGGTAGCAGCTAACAATTTCCGTGTTCATTCTTATCCTATCGCAAAGAACTTTATATCCACCGAAAGATGAGGTCAAGACCTTTCCAACGATGTCGCGATTCGTTTATGTTTGACGGAGTTACGAAAGTTTGTACACTCAGGGGCATCACAGGGCGGATGGAAGTGATACGACCGGGGGTGGGGCGGGTGTCCCGCGGAGAAAAAAATTATTCTTTTTCGGCCAACAGGGCACGTTTTAGCACTCTACACTACAGCCACAAATGAGGGTTCCCCTAGCACGTATTAGACCACCCCATTCCAGCTCAAAAAAACTATTCTCATGGATTTTGTTGGTATTGTCTGTACATCATAATCATACATAGGTGGCCAAGACGAAAAGGAAGCCATTGCCCTCAAAAAATCACAAAATCCGAAGTACAGTTCTAGCGCCAACAGCTGTGCAAAACGTATGTCATGTCCTGCGAAAGTGCGCCACGCCGCATGCACTAGTCTATGTACATGATGTACACGGCCGGCCCGCGGACAGTCGCGAAGAATGTCCGCGGACGTCCTGACACCTAGCTTCAACACATCTCCGTAGCGCTAACCGACAGCCTTCCAACTTGGAAGGTTTAAGGTTATGGAAAGACCAAAGAGGGGAAGGCAAACTCAACGAAAATGAGCACAAGCTACAGTCCCAATGGAACAAAGAATGTCGATTATTACTGGACTATGACGAGACCAGTAGGATATTTGAGCGGTCTAACTACAATTCGAAGCAGCAAAGCAGCACACCAGCCAACTTGGGTGGGTCATAAAAATCAAATATATAAAATAATTATCATAAATATCATAAAATGAGCCTGGATCAGCAAAAACCATCACATGTGCAACATGTTCAAAACATATTTTGGTGCTCCAAATTGATCCACAACTACTGATAACCAGTCTCAAGAAATTTTAGATCAATCACAGCACCGTAAGTGACAAAAAAATGCAGTACACAACATCTCTGTACAAATGTTGGAAGTGGCATTTCTGAGTAAGATGCTAGTATTTTTTTGATTGTTTGAAGTTTTATTTTACATCGCAAACCAAACGGGCATTGATGCTCAATATTATGATGGCGATAGAATAAAAAGTGTGGCTCGATAAAGCTGCACTTGAGAAAATGAGAAAGCGGGGAATAGGACGTATTTGTACCGGTAATTACAAGTCAAGTTCGAACGATGTAACAATCAGGGAGAAATAGGAAGATGAGGACCCATGCCAGAGGGAGGTGCTATTCAGCCATATTAACCCTAGAAAAACACTTTCAGCAATCTTTTAAACGGGGTTGGACAACGAGTGGACTTGAGTTCCTGTGGCAGGGTGTTCCAAAGCTTCACGGCGGAAACCAATGGTCGGCTGTCGCCTGATGTTTGCCGAGTTAGCGGAACAACGTATTTGCAATTGTCATTGCCACGGGTGTTACTGGGAGGTTGGAGGGCTACTCTATCTTTCAGAAGAGCTCTGATGCTGCTGGTGTGGACAAGGTGCATAAGGAAACAGAGTTTGCATTTGGCACATTCAATTACAGGGGTCAGGGAAAAGCAAGTGTATATAGGGGTGGTATGGAACGGGAAGGGCAGATCGGCTGCGCAGCGAACACATCGCTTGTCGAGGACAGTGAGCTGGTGCCGCTGCTGAGCCGTATGTGCAGAGAAGAACGCGTTCGATCCATAAAGCATGTCAGGAAGTATAAGGGCAGAATAGAAGAGGAGTGACTGGCGTTCAGATAGCGAAGGGCGGATGGTTATCAGGGTGGTTAGCTTCTGGGAAGTTTTACGTACTATGCTGGAGACCTGCGCGTCCCACCGAAGACAGGAATCGATCTGTAGGCCCAGAAAGCGAGCAGTGGTGGTCTCGGTGAGAGGCGTCCTGTTGCAGTTAACGTTGAGTTCCAGGGTACTACGGCGTGATGCCTCAATGGCTAAGACCTGCATCTTGTCAGGGTTTAAAACCAGGCCCTTCCCGTGTAGGTAGTCAGCCAAGTTTGACACAGCAACTGATAAGACTTGATTTAGGGTTGCTACGGATTTGCTTGCGGTGTCGAGAAGGATGTCATCCGCAAACAGCTGGGAGTGTGCTGGGCTGGTGACGCTATGGACGTCCATGGTATATAGTGAAAACAGCAAAGGACCCAGTACACTACCCTGAGGGACTCCACACTCGCATGTAGTTAGGCCCGAGCACCTTATAACCCTGCTGTCATCATCACCAATATTCTGATTCTCATGCACATATCCCAGAACCTGCTATCCTTCGCAGTCCCCATCACCAAGAGCACTGTGCTCTTCTATCTCCCAGCTCTCTCTCTCTCTCTCTCTCTCTCTCTCTCTCTCTCTCTCTCTCTCTCTCTCTCTCTCTCTCTCTCTCTCTCTCTCTCTCGCCCTCGCTCTATCGCTCTCTCTCTCTCTCTCTCTCTCTCTCCTCTCTCTCTCTCTCTCTCTCTCTCTCTCTCTCTCTCTCTCTCTCTCTCTCTCTCTCTCTCTCTCTCTCTCTCTCTCTCTCTCTCTCTCTCTCTCTCTCTCTCTCTTTCTTTCTTCTCTTCTTCTTCCCCCATCTCCCGATAATTATTAGCCCCCGTTTTCTTTCGACGCGTTTGCTGTGCAGTGAAGCCGAGACCCTAGGTCGGTGGAGCACATCAGACCCCGTCACCACGTCCACGATTCATGCCTGCGATGCTGCACCGCTGCTTTGCATGTCATGATTGGAAGCTGTGGCCTTAGTAAAAAAAAAAAAAAAAAAAAAAAACTGCCCACTCGCTAGAACTACTCTCTGTCGACTATGCGTGAAGTAGCTCGCAAACGAACGCAATGCAGTCGAAGATACACCCAAAGCAAACAAATCTTGGATCATGAGCTGGTGCCGTACTTTATCGAATGCCTTGCTCATGTCCACTAGTACTGCGCCAGCATGTAGCTGGTGGTCTGCTGACGACAGATAGCGGTCCATGGCCAAGGTCAAGGCATCTTCCGTGGAGTGTTGTGGCCGGTACGCAAACTGATTGGCGGGCAAAAGTGAATAGGTTTGTAAGAAGTCACACAGGCGTTTGTGGACTGTCTTCTCCAAGATCTTCGATGCTATTGGCAGCAAAGAT